TGTAACTCCCTGAGTGCTGGAATAGTCCGACTGTTAATGAGGTCGTGTTCGTCCCCAATCCGTCTTATTGATTCAGGAGACTTTGCCATGCAACTGTGGTGTGTGTGAATTCAGCGCCTATTTAATTTCTACTTTCTGTAGTGTGGTTGCATCTGAATTCTTCAATAACTGAACTTGCCTGCAGTTCTTTGTCTTCTACAACTTACGGCTGCTCGTTACCTACGCGTTGTTAATGCTGTACACTAAGAAAACTACATAGACATAATATCAGTGATAGGTAGCCGATTGGTGATCAAAACGTGATACCCTTAAACATTATGTCAACTAACGCAGTGAGTAAGACCTATTGTTGCCTTGAGTCCAACTGAATATATCGCGTCATTGACTGGGGAATATCTGCAGCACCGTTGCGATTACATTTTTTAATACAACGTGGCATACATGTAGCATGGGAGTAGCAGTGGATTCTTCCTATGAGGATATAAATGGGTGGATATGCAACATTTGCCGTGCAACTCGACAGAGTAGCCAAATGCATGAAAAAGAACAGCATTACTCCAGCTAGCACATGATGGATAATCAACAGTTTTGCCAGTGCTCCCCATAGCACTCACGAATTGACCGAACTGTGTCAAGTTCACAAGCACGATGGAGGATTACATGTATGCTTAGGGAAAACAAGCATTTCTGAGGAACGCCAAACTCTCAGGAGCGTACAAACCGTCGTAGCTTCTGCAGTAAGGTAAATAGATGAATAAGTCAATGAGCGAACAATTAGTGCATTGCTGCGGAATGTTGACTTTGCGTCTATTGGCCTGTCATACTTCCTTCGTAACTGAAACTTCCGAGAATGCCTCTTATATGCTTCAAACATACTTACCTTCAACCGTAATTGATGTCCCGCACGTAAAACGCAGTTCTTTGAACTCATGGTAGCCTACCAACATTCCGTGGGCGCTGGAACACTTAAGTACACGCTATTTACCAAGGTTTTCTCACTTTGCGTCGCAACCATGCACTGATAGTTGAATGCGACGGACGTCTGACAACACCCTGTCTCCTACCAAGTCAACTTATGAGTGGTGTCCGTTAATGCATTATATCGCATTTGGGGCGCTGCGCAGATAATACGTACCCAACTTCATAGACATAATGTCGCCTGGGTGCCTTCCACCGACTAAACAAGCACACTATACGACACAGTTTGTTCCTCCGCTCTGCTACAATCCAGAGCACCAATCACCTGCGCTTTCAACACCAACAGTGGCGACAGCAGCAACCAATAGCTGCGCTCATTTAGGGACCCGTAATGCTCGGTAGCCACCGTGCAGAGCATTTCATGCCCCAGGACCCCTCCTATTCATGGAGCAGAAGTACCAGTTATTTAACAGACAAAGGTTCTATCTGAGGACCGTATTCTATAAATCAAAAAATGAATTAGGCCACCGTAATTACCGGATACATGTCGTACCACCTGCTCGCGATGCTGCGAAGTAGGGCATCCGCGGGCTTTTAGATTTCATATTTTCCACAGAGCTTTTCGGCCACCCGCTGTTGCTCGGAACGCATTTCGGATTTAATTACAACATTTCTGCATACATTTTCCTCGTTGCATCTTTTACATTAGTCTTCATAGCACCCCAAACGCTTTCAATAGTTTTCACGGACGAAGAGTATGGCGCTAGCCGTAGCAGTCTTGATGTTTGCTACCATTTTTCTTGGAAGACACCCACCAAATCCGTGTGGCACGGCGCGTTGTCACAAACTGGCATGCACAGATCGATGCAATGTAATCTTTGGGCATTCAGAATTTCTCGAACCCACTGTGCGCACTGTCGTTTGTTGTAGCTGCTACGCAAAACCTATTCATGCTTCCATAGTAATCGTGCTAACCACGTGCACATTCTGGCAGCGAGTGTTCGGCAAGTAAAATGCGCACGACTCCCACGCCTTCAACGACGGCTGGTGGAAACTCAAATAGGTTGAAATTATTCTCATCTATCCAAATAGACTGTTTATCTTTCGCTGGTAATTATAGCATTAAAAAGACTAACAATTTCAGTCACTTTTGTTATACCATCTGTTTATTTACTCCGGAATGGTGTGGAAGTTCTTCAGAGTTATAAGGCACCCGTCCAGATACTATGGACACCGCAGTAACGTTCACCTCCAAGTCATGTTCCACCTTGAGCCTCATACGAAGAGTCGTTAGCGTAACGGTAGGCTCTTCCGATATCCATTCAACGAGAGCATAACTACTGCGCAACCGGAGAAGCTAATACTTCATATATAACCATGTGAAACCGTCCGCTTTGTCTGAAGTTGCAACCATCTAACCGGTTGCATTTTTACAGACATTTCACACATTTCATGTAAATGTAAGTAAAGAATAAAGGTATATTCTCCATTGTACACGAGAAACACCATGGAAAGCCTAATCAATTTGTACAACTAGCAATTGTCTGACTTTGAGGGCAATAGTTGTATTCATGCTAAAATTGCTGTGCTGTCTAATGATGTCACCATTATATCGGGGCAGACTGAAATCTAAGAGCATTGTCACGTCAAGTCAAGAAATCGTTATTATGCACCCATGAGGGGTGAATTTTCAGCTACAACACACACGCGATCGAAACGGTAAAGCGAACAACACGGTAAGCTTACGATTTGCTCTCGGCAGTATAATTCACTTTAGCAGTGAAAGCAGCGTAGTAGAAGTTTACGGATTTGTTGGAAGCCAGTCATGAGGCGATAACAGCTTTTGTGTCGATAGCCATACGGCACCCATCCACCGGCCATCACATATGGCCAGGCTGTCTTTCTCCATTGCTAACACAGCAACCCACTAAGCACTTCGCAGCGAACTCTATTGCTGGCTTTTTATCCTGCCTAAAGGCCGATTACCGATCGATCGAAGCATGGCACATTCATTGCGGCTGTGGTGTCTGTCTCACGTCCAGTTCGCACAGCCGAACAGCGTGCGTTACCTTGATTTTATTTTGCGATGTTCGCAAGACAGGTCGATTTTGGGCTGTGAGGTTTGCTATCGTCCAATTCTCACAGCCGACCGACTTATTGAGCCATGCGATCGTAGACGCACACGCCAACCCTCTCTGCCCCATCTCACTCCGGCCGGCAAAGCAAATTGCACCATTGGACAGTTAGCAATTCAGCGTACCCTGGTACCTCAGCACCTGATTACTGCAGCTGCCAGCTTCGGACATGGTTAATAACACATCCAGTGTTGTGCGCTCAGAACGCGTGGACTGTTCGGACAACGCTGACACGTTGGCACTGGGACACATTGTACTCGCCGGTTCTGAATTCGAACCAATGGTAATCTTTCCGACGAACGATTGTTAAGTGGTTGCTGAGGGATGACGTTCAAACACTTCATCCAAGGTTGTGCAGCTACAGGCAGGCGTCCTGTTGGCGACCTCTAGCACTGACACTCTCCTCCATATCTGCCTTTCGTCAACACCGATGTGCCAACCTACTCAGGAGCATACCTGTTGCCCATAGGCGCATACATCTAGCCCTTTGCTCACATCCAGGTGGTCCCATTGGCTAATGTCCCATGACCAATGGGAGTGTCAGTGATTGTGCGTGCATGTAACCCATCAGGATGAGAATGAATTGATACGTGAATTGATACGTAAACTTGGATGACCAACATGTTAGTTTGATTTTTAAACAAGCTACCTTATTAACTTCATCCGTGACTTTGCCTGTAAATAGGTATAGGTGATGTCCTAAAGCAGGTTTTACTTTTGTTTGAAAGATACTCCCCAATGATGCAGTTTCAGTGCCGAATGTACGATGTTAATATACGCCACATGAATGAGCGCTTGATAATCAACATTACTGAAAACCGTGGTGTGTGTTTGACAAAGAGGAAATTGGAAGTGGTTGAGGACCGGTGATGATGTCACATGGCAAAAGAATTTCGATGCTGGTCCTGAATCTTCCGCTGAACGCCGAAGCCGTCGTTCACAATAGTGCGACAGATAATATGTTACCAATTTGTGGGCATCGGTTAGTAACTGCTGCCATAGAAAGAGTTGGTTACGTCCGGTTACAGGGTGGAACCACCTTTCACCTGAAGTAAGTTGATTTACCCTATGCAATTCACATGGAGACAGGGGAAGCAAGACGATATTCTAGAGTTATACTTCATACGAAATGGCAATTTGCAGACATTGCTGACATCAGTCTTCCCGCTCAATCTTCGTGGATCAGAATTAGTGACATATGTTTCGTTGCTTTGCAGATCACCTTCCTACCTCTGGTATCACACCCATTCTGTAACTACGTTTATCGCGTTACATTGATCCGCTTCCCTGGTCTGTGTACGTTACCATACGTGAATCGCTCCACGCATGCCTAATTCTGTCCAATCCTATCTATATTCTTGGTGCTATTAGCTGCTCACTTATATGTGGGTCACATCGTGGTCCTGCGTGATATATATATATATATATATATATATATATATATATATGCAAATTGACTAACAATGGTACAACTGACAGCAACCCACAATACATAAAGGAAAGCAACAGGTTAAATAGCAAAGAGAAACCACGTAAGTTTCACTGAAGTTGTGCTTATTCCACTGCACTTTCTGGTTTCTTGTGCCACACTGGAATATTTTCGGCCGCTACTATATTTTATTAGTAGAGCAGCTGAGCACAAGGGTATTTGATATTTGCTGCGACAAATCACGCGACCCGATTTGTTGTCAACATTTCATAATCACTCTGTTATATCTAGTTGCCTTCAATGTCACACGCTCTGTGAATAAGAATTGTCTAGATATCAGTCAATGTATTCTTCGTAAAAACATTACTATTTTTCGCTATGCTTGAGGTACTTCTAAAGTCTCACGGAAAACGCAAGAGGAAGTCTGCGCGGTATCAGATTTCTGTTATTGTACATCAAACAACTAACTACCTCTACCAAGCTGATAGAGTAAAGCAATACACAGAAATCTAGCATACCTTCCGACGTGTGTGCAGGCTGGCGAGCAGTTTCTTCCTTTCAGTTGCATTGTTTAATACGATCTGACTTTTTTTGAACATACTCCAAATTCTGTTCCAAATGCGTCGCAGCACATACTGGCTGAAATCAGATCGTCATTTTATACGGCAGTTAGGTAAGTTGTATGAAATGTTCGAACAAATGTTGATTGATGTTCAGTTTTGAAATCATGTGTAAGGTATATGTTCATCACCACATTTGCAGATGAAAGCAGGAAATGGGAGAATGAAGGTTCTTGGTTAATGTTGCATGTTGCTAGCTTGTATGATTTGCGTTCCCCTTATATTAAACCATTGTCTGGCTAATCGTTGGACGAGCTCACCCTGCACATGCATATGCTGGGGCTATTATCCCTCCCTGGCACACCTACGGACAGTGAACTAGTGAGCCCAGCCGCATACGAATTACAGCATCGACGCCACTGCTGCGAATCTTGCAAATGGATTCAAGGTTAGTGGCCACTGTTTGCCCATCTGCAGGGTACGGACATAGCTACATCATTATTGGATAGTGCACTTAGCGGAAAACCTCTGGAAAATAGCGATACTGCTGTTTAAAGTTCTTGTCAATTCTGGAGCGGACTCAAACAGCATCAGGGTAGATAAGTACATGTAAATACCATCGGTCCTGATTCGGCATTCTAAATAAAGGAACAAGTTTATCTAATGAGTGCTTGATTCCTGCATGCCCACTGCCAATTAGGCACTCACTCCCTGAAATCTAAGAATGTAGGACTTAGAGGAAATATGCTAGTGATGCGGTGGCTTTGCTGTGGCATGTTCCAAGTTGAAATCGCCGCCATGAACAGAGTGCACGGATAACGATGCTCACACAACCTGAACTGTGTGCTCGGTTGGAGATACCAAAACGGCAAGCGCTTTTGGGCACCTGTGTTCGTACTGTCACACTTGATATGTTATCAAGAGAAATAGTCAAACGCTAGAAAACACATATTACAACCATTTATGAACAACCCCGTATTTACAGGATAGATGATACGAGAAACCTATTCGGAACAGTAGAACGAAAATGGACAAGCTGCTTTTTTACAGAGCAAACAATTATGGTTGCTGCTTTTATAAATGCCTCCATAGTCTACCAAAAATTGTATAAACAATGAGAGGACTGATGCGTTCTTCGAGCTTGGCAATTTTGTTGCAGGCGTTTCGTTGCCAAGTTAGACAAACTCATCTGTGTTGATATCAGGGTCCGATTCGTAGAGTCTCGTAAGCCCCTGCCAGATCCAAGTGACTATTGATCGTCTCCTGCTTTGATTGTCAGTTTTCCATCGGCTAAACTGGGTTGACAAGGTGGTCACCTCTTCGCCTTATCGATCTGGTACTTATTGCTGACCTCAGATGCAGAGGTTCGTAAACCCCCTATAGTTCCAGGTGCTTGTTGGTTGATTTCAGGCTTGAATGTCAGGCCTCCAGGAACTCACGCGCTCTGTGGTGCTTTGCTCTTCCAAGTATATTGCCGTTTTCCAGATCGAACTGATGTTCTTCGGTATCCATATGTACTGAGACTAGTGTTATTTTATCATGGCGGCGGACGGCCAGACTGTGTTCATGCGGTCGTGTACTGCATAAGAACACACCAACCCGCTTAATCACACCTCGAGCTACAGGCATTCCCAGTAATTTATGAACGTTATATTTAAGTAAATTTACGCTATATTTATGTGACTAGATGATCATGAACGACCAGCAGTTTTTATCTGCTCTGGATTGAGTGGATCAGTATCAGCATCATTATCATCATTATACCCGTTAGCTGGAGGTGTAAAACACCTTAGCTATTGTGCCGCAATACCAAAAAGAAAAAAAGTACCACGGCTGCATGCCAGCTGAGCTACCAGCAACGGTTGGGCATCATTCCGGAAAACTACCACCCGGCAACTACGCAGCAAGCAAGATTATTAGGTAAAATTATATCATGCTACGAACTGAAATCGTGGTTTGAGGGGAAGGCTAAAACGGATGGGGAGGGACAAAGAAACTCACAGCACGAACGCCACAGACGTCGGCTGCTTGCCATGTTAGCAAGTGTATCTAGCCAAACGTGTTCATGGTCTTTTGGACCCCAACCAGGGAGCCGTGAAGCTCCAACCGGGGCTAGCTCCGAAGTGAGGGTCTTTATTCCTCTCGAGCAAGTCATCACTAGGCCACCCATCCCCTTCTTCCATCCACACCCCCAGTGAGCAAACAACGCACGTCGCGGAAGTCGGTGGGCTGGCATGCGTAACACCTGGCCGAGCCATCGGAGCCTGATGCATGAAACGACGGTGTTGAGCGGTTCGGTTACTAGTTCTGTGCCATAAACAAGGCGTCGAACACGCAAGTTGCGCACGCTGTGTTCCCACCAGATGTTAGCCAAACTGTGAAGGCACCGATAGTCGAATGTAACTAGCCTCTTTATGCCTGCTCATCTAATGGACGCGGTTTCGCAACCCTACAGTAAGGTCGAACGTACCGCTTCACTGAACACTCTACCCTTCAGGGCAAAGTGATGTCGCGCCTGCGCCATAGGTACCAAAGATTATCAAAGGCACTTCGAGTTTTTGCTATACGGTTCGCGTTCTCATCTTCAATCCCAAAGGCGCTAATACAACTTCTCAGGGAGTTGAATTTTTGAACGACTTCTAGCTGATTCCCACCAAGGGTCAGCGTAGGAGGCGGTGCAGACTAATCTTGGAGGAAAGCTTTGCACTTCGATGATGCAAAGCCAAGCCCGAAGCGAATGACAACCAGTGCTAATCTGTCCAGTGCCGCTTGGCACGTCTGGCAGCTGTCACAGGTGAGAGCAATATCTTCAGCATATTCCAAGTCAAGAAGTCGTTCTCCTGCGAGCAGATCCACACCTTCCAAGTCGTGTTCTGTGAACGTCATTTCCATGACTTTGTCAATAGCGAAGTTGAGGAGAAAAGGTGACAGCGGGCATCTTTGCTTCAAGCCGCTGGAGATACTGAAGAGCGGCGACAGCTTACCGTAAGCCCTAACTCTGCTCGTGATCCGCGCGTATAATGCTCGGATAACATTTACATATTTCTCGGGCACATTTTTCTTGAATAGACAGTCCCAAAGGACACTTCGATCAACCGAATCGAAGGCACGTTGAATGTCGAGGAACACGACTACAGTGGGCCGCCAATATGTGTGACGGTGCTGTAACAACTGACGCAAGGTGAAGATGTGGTCGACGCAGCCACGATTCTGACGAAACCCGGCTTATTTTTCACCAGTCTGGCTTTCATAAGTGCCAGTCAGTCTGTGAAGGATGACAGAGGCTAGTAATCTGGAGGCCATGGGGATCCGACTGATTCCTCTATGGCTGCCGCATTCCGATCGTGAGCCTCCTTTGAAAATTGGGACTATGACGGAGCGGCTGCACTCGTTAGGGACAGTTTTCTGCTCCCACAGTTTCACTAGTAACTCGTATAAATCATCCACCGCTGCAGGTCCCCAGAACTTGAGGAGGACTGAAAATAGATCAAGGACAAACGATTAACTGTCCAGACACGACCGCTGATGATTCACAATTAAATGATTTTGATCATTCTTAATTCGATAGCGTTGTACAGAAAGCTATTTACTTGCTTTTAAATACAGTCTCAGTCTATGCAAACCCTGGTTGTAGCCAACCACTGGGTGCCCACTAAAATAGCATTTGTTCAAGATGGATCGGGGTCGTTATTCTTCGCCGGGGCAACGGACTTTGCAATTATAACTAGTCCCGAAAATGGTGACGCTATAGTTAACTAAATTGCAGTTCATTGCCAGTCTTGTAGGACGAATCCGACGAAAGGAAGAAGTGGAGGAAGTACTAGTGCAGCTAAATAGTCAGTTTGATATGAAACATTGTCCTCTTTCTATTTCCGTTTGTCAAAGCCAAGGATATGCTTTATGCGCCCACGAAGGGTGTACATTTGGCTCCAACACACATGCCCTGGACAGATATGCCTGATCAAATAGGTAGTGTATTACAAGCAAAAATTATAATAAAGTAGTCCTAAATTAAAGTTGTACAGACTCAGAAAATCGGGAGGTGACTGATAGATCTTGGGTGTTTTATCCACTCGCAACAGTGCACACCACGACCGATTTCGAACTGGTTTGTTCTCACCCGATAGAGCTGGTAGGATTGCAGACTTTTGACCTCCTATATCAGTCGTTTGGTCGCTTATCTGTCTGTGAAATGACAGTGGTGTCAGAAGCCGTGTACATGTGATGATAACCACATCTCTTGATCGTATCAGCAGTTGTACAACGTTCCAGTGAGGAGACATTCCAGTGGACGGTATTTAGCAACGGGTGGGGTGTTTATGGCTATCGTCTGACAATGAGAGTTTAACGCAGAGCAATAGCAGTGAAAATGGCCTTGGAGAATGGAAGGTTTAACTTATTCAATACAACTATTAACTGTCAATTACTTAGGCCACAGGAAATGTGATTGCTGAAAACATGTCCAATTGTATAAGGACTGTTTTCGTGCGAGGTCTTGACGAAATCGTTCTTGATAATATGAAGAGTAACAAGACAGTAGGGAAAGCAATATAGCCAGTGAGCAGATGGAAAGCGCTATGTATTTGATGCAAAGATTACACCTCCCAAAACCGGAACGTTACATGCATCTATTTATACCGACACATGCAGGTGTAGTTTAGATGGATCGTTATACACCCTTAAGTTGTTTTTTTGTTATAGGTGTTTCCGTATTATTCCGCTACGTTGATCGTGGATGGAATTAGGAATGCATTAGAGGTAACACAGAAAAACACTTTGATGTGGAGTGTTACAAACGCCAGCGTTACACCCGGGTGGAAGGTATGTACAGCAAACATCCAAGCAAGGAATTAAAGCTAGCTTGCTCGGCAAATGATGGAAAATATGATCACAGGAACAAGAGAACGACATGAAGTGTCTCGTATATGGCAACTTCCCTTTCGGGTTCATTGGAGCGTCATTTTTGGTCAGTAGTCTGGTAGCGTATAGTGAGTCAAAAAATAAGTGTCATCACAGTATTCTTCCAATTCCAACTGTCATATTGGCTGATTTTTTCGATGCTGTTAAGGAGTCTCTGTT